CCCTCGCAAACATCTTGGATGCGTGTGTCACGCAGGCGGCGACAGAGGTGGCTGACGGGAAGCTGTCCGAGCACTTCCCCCTCGTGGTCTGGCAGACCGGCAGCGGCACGCAATCCAACATGAATGCGAACGAGGTGGGCACGGGCGGCTGGGTGTGGGCGAGTTGCAAGGCGCCAGCGGGTTAAGTCAGCCGGGCGCCTGCCTCTTGAGTGGCGTTGGCGCCAAGTGACAGACTGCTGCTGTGCTGCTGGAACACAACCCTGCACATCCTCAACTTGGTGCCTCCCTTCTGCAACACCTGCCTCACAAATCCCTTGCAAAGGTCATCGCCAACCGCGCGATCGAGATCCTGGGAGGCAAGCTGGGCTCGAAGATGGTGCGCGCGGCCTAGGCACGCGCATGCGCGCGCTGGCGTGCGGCAGGGGCAACCTGGAGAAAGCAGACGCGCGTAGCATCAGGCCTGCAGTCTGATGCCGCAGCAGCACGATCTGCAAACCACCAAGTGGCCGATTCCTGCACACTCCTGCCCCTGACCTCGCCCCTTCCCCCGCCTCAAATCGAACCAGGTCCACCCCAACGACCACGTCAACAAGGGGCAGTCCTCCAATGACACCTTCCCCAGCGTGATGCACATCGCGGGCGCAACAGAGGTGTCCAAGACGCTGCTGCCCTCCCTCAAGGAGCTGCACGTGGGTCAAACGCACACATCCAACACCTCAGTCAAACACAATCTGTCCTGCACATCCACTGTCTGTCCACACCCCCAGACCGAGGCGTGCTAATATTCGCTCCACTTGTTCTAGCTGCACCCCAGCCTTGTGCAAAACCCTGCTTTGATTCGCAACTCCCAGCCCTTGCCGGTACAGTCATGTTGTGACCCGGTCAAACATCCTCTCAACCCTGGTCAAACCCGCAGTCCGCCCTAGCAGCCAAGGCCGACGAGTTTGCTGACATCATCAAGATCGGCCGCACGCACACGATGGACGCCACGCCCCTGACCCTCGGCCAGGAGTTTGGGGGTTACGCACAGCAGGCGAGCGGTTTTAGTCGCCTCACATCATCATCCCAGGGGTCAATCGTTGGTGGCTGCATCACACAATTTTGTGTTTCGCTGCGTCAAGCACCTAGCATATCATTCCAGTGACCTGGGAACCCCCATTGAGCACAGGCTTCACCCGGGTCGCCTGCCTCCACTCATGCCCCCCAAACAGGTGGCCTACGGCATCCAGCGGGTGGAGGGCGCGCTGCCGGCGCTGCTGCGGCTGGCGCAGGGCGGGACAGCGGTGGGCACGGGGCTCAACACTAAGAAGGGCTACGACGTGGCGGTGGCCAAGCAGGTGGGCCGGGGTGACTCTCTGGGTGTGTGCAGGCAGGTCAGGGGTTTCATAGCAGTTGCTTTTGAAGCAGGTCGCGGGCAGGAGGAGGTGGCAGGCCGGCAGGTTTGTTGGTGGCCGCCCGAGCTCCGTTTTGCCGTTTGGGTGCAAGCAGCGCAGTGCATGCCAGGCTGGGTGGCACCGCGGGCAACCTATTTTGTGGCCCGACCAGGCCAGCTGCGCAGGAACCGTCTTGAGCCAGCAGCTGCGGCCGCCTCGCCGTCCCAATGCCACTTCCTGTGCGCCTGGACTGCGCTGGCCCTCGCCACCCACGACAGGTGGCGCACGATACCGGCTTCCCATTCGTGACTGCCCCCAACAAGTTTGAGGCGCTGGCCGCCCACGACAGCGTGGTGGAGATGAGCGGGGCGCTCAACACGGTGGCGGTGTCGCTCATGAAGGTGGCCAACGACATCCGGTTCCTCGGCTCGGGGCCGAGGTGCGAATAATGGGCCTGGCCGCCTAATGGGATCTGGGGGGATATGGCCGGCGGGCAAGGGGGGTGGTGGGGTCAACGCAGCGACCCTTCGCATGCAGAGAGGGCGAGCATTTGTGTGTGGGGGATGCTCTTGATCCTTTCTTAGACGCGCGGCAGGCTGAGGGGCGTGTGAGGGCTGCTGCTGGTGCAGAGAATGGAGCTTGCTGCCCCACCAGGGCAGCGCAGAGCGGCCGATCTACGATGCTCCCTGTTCTTCCAGCACCGCGACCAAGCCCTCCAACAAAGCTTCATCCCCCAACGTCTTCTGCCAGGTGCGGCCTGGGTGAGCTGCAGCTGCCCGAGAACGAGCCCGGGTCCAGCATCATGCCCGGGAAGGTTAACCCCACGCAGTGCGAGGCGCTCACCATGGTGGCTGCACAGGTGGGGGCGCACACGGATGTTGGTGTGGGTGCGTATTGAACCATGCTCTGTTTCTTTAGCAAAGGGGGCATTGATTCACGTTCCTGCACATCTTTGTGCAGTGTTACTCATTGTGAAGGCAGGGGGGTTGCAGCGGGATGTGCTGTGCCAGGTGCTGGCACCATGAGGCGCCCTGCTTTCCTGACAGCCTCCCCTCTGACTGGCCCCCTATTCCCCCCCGCCTCCGCCCTTCCCCTGTTTACCCCCTGTCCCCGCAGGTCATGGGCAACAACGCGGGCATCAGCGTGGCGGGCAGCAACGGCCACTTCGAGCTCAACGTGTTCAAGCCAATGATGATCGCCGCGCTGCTGCAGGTGAGGGTGGAGGGACGCGCCGTGCTGCCCCCAAAGCCTGAACCCATCACACCTGCGGCCTGCTGGGCTGGGCGCAGCCCTGGGGGACGCGAGCGTTCGCGCATCCAAAAGTTGTGAGGGGGATGCTGTGTCATCACCAGTTGTTGAGCCAGACACGCCCGACGCGTGCCCCCTGCCACGAACGGCTTTGGCACACATGAAATCCGTTCTTGAGCCCTCACAAGCCTGCCTCGCCGGGGGCATTCCCGTGTGCCGCCCCGTGACCCGCCCCTCTCCGTGACAGAGCGTCCGCCTGCTGGGAGATGCGTCGTCTTCCTTCGCGTCCAACTGCGTCGTCGGCATCCAGTGAGACTTGCGGAGGGGGTGTCGCCACGTGCCGCCCTGCCTGCGCAGCCACCACACGCCTGCCTAGCCCCCTGCAGGCCTGCCCCCGCAACCTGTATCTTTCCCAGCACCCCCAGCAGCGCGGACCGCCCGGGGCAAATCAAATCAGGAGCACACTTATTAGTCCAAAGCAACCATCAGGCTCCAAAACCGCACCCACTCAAGCTAATAGGATTGGCTGTTTCCACCCTGTCAACCCCCAAACCAGGGCCAACCGCAAGCGCATTGACCAGCTGCTGCACGAGAGCCTCATGCTCGTCACCGCGCTCAACAACAAGATCGGCTACGACAACGCCGCGGCCGCCGCCAAGAAGGCCCACAAGGAGCACACCACCCTCAAGCAGGCGCGCGCGGGGCGCGGTGTTTGGGGGTCCTGTGGGGGTGGGGGCCACGCAGGCCGCGAGCTAGAGGGGAGGTTGCGCGCAAGGCGTGCGCTTTGCGGGGCGTGCGCGGCGGGGCCGCGCGGGTGCTGCTCATGCCCTTGAGGTGGCCCGCATTCCAGGCCTGTTTGTTCAAGCAGCGCCACTCCTTGTACCAAGCGCTGATCCCCCTGCTGTACCTGCGCAAAAGCACTTGGTCTGGTTCAAAGCCCTTGATTTGGGCCACGACATCTGATCTGCGCCCGATTGGTTGATCTAGGCCTCCTGCTTCCCGTGCCTCGCCCCTTGCCCCTCCGCAGGCGGCCATGAGCCTGGGCCTCCTCAGCAGCGAGGAGTTTGATGCCTGGGTGCGGCCAGAGACCATGATCGCGCCAAAGGAGTGACAGGCGCAAAGATATCCGCAGGCGGCCGGCCAGGCCTAGGGGGTGGCCAAGGCGGCTGGCACGTCCAGAGCTGGCGAGGCGGCGGCTTGCACACAGGGGGACTCCGTTGAGGGGCTCAGGCTCTCGCAGAAGCCTGCGGCCGCAGCCGGGTGGCTGCCGTGTCCCGGCCTGCGGGGCGCCTGCTCTGTGGGTTGCCCTGTTGATGACTCTGCGGGTTCCTGGTTCCCTTGTCGCATCCGCATGGTTGCGCATGCGTCCAAAATCATGACACGTGGTGCATGCGGTCCGGTTCGCGTGTAAAGCCGTTCGTATCGTTAAAATTCCTATGGGCCAACGCGCCGGCTGGTGCACTGGCTGCAGCCGCGTCGTGCACTGGCTGCAGCAGAGGTGGCGGCGTCTGCAGCCCAGCCTCGTTGCGGCGGGTTCGGCGCGAAAAGCAGCCCTCGCATCCCTGCATCTGGCTGCACGTGCAGAGTGCGCTGCTCTGCGCGGCGCTGGCCGTGGTACATGAGGTGGCGAGTCTGTGCACAACGCTCGGGCCGCCTGGCTGGACTTGTCACAACAACTCACCTCATATGATCTCCGGTGTGCTATGATGTGCTCTCAAGTTCAAGGCCAAGGCAGTCAGCTGGAGGTCAATGGGCTGGCTGACACTTGATACGCTTCAGGCAACCCTCGCAGGCATCCCTCCCCACCCCCTGATTTGCGTCAATACTCCCACTTGAATTGTGGGACGACGACGGTCTCTTCAAGGCAGACCTGCGCCATGCGCCACGGTCGGGGATTCGCCAATACACCGGCACTTCCTGCATTCGTCCAGCGGGGGCCGGCCAGACTTGCCAACAACTTGCAAAGCTGCAACGAGCGGATGGCAGCTGCTGCTGACGTCAATTGAAACCGCGCTCGCTTCCCCGCCCACCTGCGAGCCCATACAGCCTGCAGAGTGTCATGGCTTGCCTCACGGTGGAGCTGAGGCCCTAAAAATGGCAGGGGAGGAGGAGCAATACGCAGATCAGACTCTGGGCCAGGTGCTGTCGTTCCTGCAGGCCCACTTCCCAGACGCGGCTGAAGCAGTGTTGAAGCAGCTTAACCAGGACCTGCAAGGACCCCAAGAGGAGGAGGAGGGGGGCGAGCTCGCGGACGAAGAGGACGGAGAGCCTGGTGCAGATGGCGCGAGCAGCAGCAGCGGGCGCGGAGAACACGATGGCGAGCATCGAGCGAAATCGGCAGAGGCCGTTGTGACACGGTGCGTAGGCCGCGGGATTGATCTAAAAGTTGACCTCCTCTTCACGATCGCGGCCCATGCGCTCATCCAATCGCTCTTGACGTACACAGGGATGATGAAGACCTGCTCAAGCAGGCGGAGGAAGCGCCGCTGCGGCGCTGGCAGAGCGCCGAAGCGACGCTGACCCGAAGGCTGAGCGGTGCGTTCACCCTTGCAAACCGCGTTGGCGGGCCGTGGGCAGTGAGACAGCGGTCGCAGGACAGCACGCTGCATGTACGGACCTCTGGGACAACGCCGGGCGTCGGCATGCGCCCTTGCCATGCACAGGACGTGTGCACGAGGAGGCGTGCGCAATGGCGCCACGATTAGCGACTGTCAGCCCCTGTCGCCATGCAGCAGCTCCTGCGCCTGCGGCTGGCCCGTGGGTCCTCAGAACACGCGCTTTATGTGCGCTGCCGCCGGCCTCAGCGTGGCCACCCGCGCACCAGCACGCTCGCGGCCCGTCAGACCGGGCACGCGCCGGTCCCCGACCCCCCGGCGCTGTTAGGGTCCCTGCCGCCCGCGTCCCATGCGCGCCGCGCCGCCCCGCGCCGCGCCCAGGCTCGACGCGGCTGTATGAGGACCCGGATGTGGATGAGTACGAGGGGTACGACGACGTCGGGTATTGGCGGCGCGAGGTGTCGCGGCAGGACGAGTTTGCGGCGCAGCACCTCGAACGCGGGCAGGTGCGCAGCCTGCTAGCGCCCGTGGCGGCGGCGGCGGCGGCGGCGGAGGGGTCCAGGGGCGGGCCGATGCACAGGCACCGACTGCGTGCCCCGGGAAGCACAGCGGGCTGCGGGGACGGCCTCACTTTGGCTGGCTGGTCGGGGGCAGGCGCCTAGTCCCGGTGGGGGTTCCGGGGCCGGTCGTGGCGCGGCTCAAATGCACCGGCGGCGGTGGTGCCCCAGGGCTCGCTCCAGGCTGCACCGTCGGCAAATGGCACCCCTCTCTCACTGCCCTCTTTTGCATGTGAAGGACGACGAGTCCTCCGTTGACATACTTCGCGGCTTGGGCCTCCAGGGGACGGGCGCCAGCAGCAGCGGGGGCGCCACGCCCGCGTCTGCGAGCACGCCTGGCGCAGGCAGCCCCCCAGGCGACGGCAGCAGGAGCCCCTCAAGCTCTGCCAGTCTGTCGTCTCCTGGAGGTGTGTGCGCGCAGCGCGTGCGGGTGATACCATGAGTGTGTGTGTGTGTGTGTGTGTGTGTGTGTGTGTGTGTGTATGTGTGTGCTGGAGCTTGGGTGATTGTTGGCAGCGTAGTTGTGGCGGTCTAGAGTGGAGCCTCGCCGCAGCAGCGATGGCAGGCGGCGGCGTCCTTGGGAGCGCAACGCTGTGAGGGCTGGCGGTGCTGCAAAGGACACTTCAGGGCTGCGGGTTTCTCCACAATGGAGTTGGCGTGTTTGCTGGGTGGCCAGGCACGTTCTTACGCCTTGTACCCACTTCTGGTACCTTCGGCCCCCTTGCGTGACTTGGTTGTTGCAGCCCTGCCATGCGTGCGGGGCCCCGGGGACGCCGACGCCGCCGGCGACGACGGCGGAGGCGGCGCTAGCACCGGCGCGCCCGCAGCGGACAGCGGCGGCGGCGGCGAGGAGGCAGCCTGGGACGAGGGCCCCGCGGGCATCACGTTTGCGGAGCCGGTGACGACGCCAACGAAGGACCCCAGCCGCCGCAGCAGCGCGTCGGAGGCGAAGCCCGGGCTGTCGCGGGTCGAGTCTCTGTCAAACAGCTTCATTGACGAGCTGGACAGCGATTTCGAAGGCGGCGCCGCGAACTGGGGGGAGGAGGACGCCGGCGCGCCGGGCGCGGCGGGCGGCGGCGGGCGCGGCGGCAGCTTCTCGGGCGGCGCGAAGCGGGGTGGGGCGGAGGGGCTGGGGGACGGCGGCGGTGGCGGCGGCAGCAGCGGCGGCGGCGTGGTGATGCTCGAGGCCGTGATTACAGACGCGGAGATTGAGTTTGCGCTCCCGCCGCCGCCCGCCAAGTCTTTCGCTCCGCGAGGCAGCAGCAACAGCGGGGAGGCGGACGCGTCGCGGGAGCAGGCCGGCGCCGCCGGTGGCGACGGCGGCGGGGGCCCGGGAGCAGGGGCGCCGGCGCCGGCGCGTGGCGACGCGCCCGCTGGCGGCGGCGGCAGCGGCAGCAGCGGGGACCTGCCCGGAATATTCGACATCGCACTGCGCATGGCGGCGGGCAGCCGCGCGAGCTCGCTTGATGTGCTTCACGGGTCAGTGCTGGGCGGCACCAGCGACGTCGGCAGCGAGCGCGGCTTCGTGCTAGGGCTCGGCGGCGGCGGCGGCGCGGCGGGGCAGGGCGCGGGGGACCACCATTCCTCGCCGCCCGGGGGGCCGGCGGCGCCGCGGCCGAGCCCGCTGGGGCTCGGCGGAGGCAGAGGCAGTGGCGGCAGCGGTTTAGGGGACAGTGGCGAGGGCAGCAGCTGGATGGGGCCGCTGCAAAGGTGGGGTCCTGGTGTTCTCATCACATGCAATGATGCAAAGGGCTGTGGAGGGCCCGGCCCCGTCACCAACAGCGAGGCCATGGCGGCGGCGGCGGCGGCGGCTGCCGTTGCTGGTGGGGAACCGCAGGCACTCTGCTCTGCCGCGCCCCGCGCTTGCTCACGAACCTCCCGCGTCCCTCCTCGCCACGCCGCTCCTGCATCCATGCCTGAATTCGCACCCAGTGAGTCCAGCGCGAGCGCGTTTGGCAGCGCCGCGGCGCAGGCCGGCGGCGGGTTCAGCTTCCCGGTCACGCCGCCCACCCACGAGGAAGAGGAGGTGCATGAGGCGCGCGCCGAGCGCGTGTTCTCAACGTGGGCCAGCAGCCACAGCCGCACCGCAGAGGAGGCGCCGGACCTGGGGCCAGGGCCGGGGCCGGGCCACGGGCCGGGCGGGGCCGGGGGCGCATCGGATGACGAAGGTGCGGCCCTGGCGGCAGGCGCGGCGTGGGGCTGCGGCGGCAGAGGGGGGCGTTGCCAGAGGGCTGCGTGATGGCCAGGCCTTGTTCCAGAGCATAGAGCAGATTTCTGCTCACCCATTGGGTGGGGAGGCATGAGCTTGGGCCGGCCCTGCCTGCGTGGGTTTGGGGCCTTCGTCTGGGCGCACCCGCCCGCTCCCGCCGCTTAACCAAGCCTCCGCGCCTACATGCCCCTGCACTTGGCAGACGGCTCCCACCATGGCAAGCACGGCGGCGGCGGCGCCGTGCTGCCCTTCTGCACGGCCGCCCTCGACACGGGCGCCCCGCTGCGGCAGGGCAGCAGCGCCAGCGCGCATCAGCTGGACACATGGTGGGAGGGGCCGGCGTCCGCGTCGGCGGCGGCGGCAGCGGCCGCGGCGGAGGCCACGCGCAGCAAGAGCCTGGTGTCGCACCAGCTATCGCCGTCGCAGTCGCGGCGCGCGACGGGCAGCAGCTGCGACAGCTCAATGGCGGTGGTCGCGCCGCCGCTGCCGCTGCCGCTGCAACGGCAGCAGCAGCAGCAGCAGCAGCAGGCGGTTGAGGGCAGGGCTGACGGACGCCCTCCTCAGTTGCCGCCGCCGCCGTCACACCAGCAGCAGCAGCAGCAGCAGCAGCAGCAGGAGCATCCAGTGCAGGGGCCTGGCAGTGCAGGCGGCAGCCCTGGCCAGCCACAGCGAGTGCAGGGGTCATCCAGTGCGGGCAGGAGTTCCAGCCAGCAGCTGCAGGCGCAGGGGCCCGGAAGTGCATCGGGCAGCCCGGGCCTGCAGCAGGGAGCGAGACAACGGCAGCAGCAACAGCAGCAGCAGCAGCAGCAGCAGGCATCACCCAGCGCGGGGGGCGCGGCGCGGCGGCCACCTGTATCGCTGGCGCGGCCCCTGTTTGTGAGCGAAGAGGAGGATACGTTCTGCACGCCCGCCGCAAGCGGCGCCGGCAGCAGCACACAGCACTCGTGTCAAGCCGCAAGCGACGCCGGCCGCGCCGGCGCCAGCGGCAGCCCGGCGGGCGGTGGCGCCGACGACGGCAGCGTGAGCGGCGGCGGGCGCGCGGGCGGCGGCAGCGGCGGCGTCGGAGCCGCCCGGGGCGAGGACGAGGAGGGTAGCTTAGGCGACCCGCAGGGTGAGCTGGGGGGATGCGCACCAAACAAACCACGCAACCAGCTGCTTGTATGCCTTAGACCGGATCTCTTGATCAGCCGTGGTTGGGATCATGACTCGAGAAAATTGCCTGGTTCCTGACCCCTCTCCCCTGCGCGTCGCCCCTTGGCTGCGCGCTCCAACCTGGGCCGACTCCAGGGGCCGTGCTGTCCCCTGCGGCCCGCAGCGCCAGCGACCGCGCGACCGACATCACCGACACGCCCGGGGCCCGATACGTGGTGGACGAGGTGGGGCGTGTATGGGCGCGGGAGGTGCCAGGGGAGGGCGTGACTGGTTTTGACACGAGCGCGGGTGTCGTTGCTGTGCTGCCATGTGATGAGTTTGTGTTTGCGTATACGCTTGCACATGTGTGTGTGTGTGTGCGCGCGCACGTGTGTCCCGTTTGCGGTGCCGAGTGACATGGCTATTCCCGCTTGCCACATGCCTGCTTGCATACTCGCCACCCCTGAGCCCCCCCTGAACCCACCTTGGCACCAATTGCACGCAACTCCCACAAGCACACTCGCATGTTCACGCACACATACACACACACACACACACACACACACACACACACGCGCGCGCGCGCGCGCATGCGTGTCTCTCATCAGTCTGGCAACCTGCTGTACGAGTACGACCCAGCCTACATTGACGCCAAGTATGAGGTGTTTGACCTGAGGGTGGTGCACAGGTGGGACCCTCTTGGCTGGCCTGCCCCCGGCGAGGCGCATCTTTCACTGCAAATGGGCACACGAACCGACTGCGACGGGTCCCAAGCCCTGCCTTGGTGGTTGTGCTTGCAGCGGTCCCTGTGCCGCGCCGGTTTGCGCCCGGCTGCGCTCCGCGCTGCGGCGCGGCGGTCGGCAGGCTTTCGTCCCTGCGACCCGGGCGCCCACGCGCGGCCACGCCCCTCTTGCAGAGGCCTGCTTGCCAGCCGCGCGCTGCGTCCCCAGACCCTGCGCTCACGCCGCCACCTCACCCCCTGCAGGCGGCGGCGCACAGGGTTTGAGGATTCCAAGGAATTCCCCATCCGCCGCAACGACCTCATCGCGGGGCGCTACCAGGTGGGTGTGAGAGCGTGTGTGTTGCATGTGCATGTGTGTATGTACGCATGCACATGGGTGTTTGTGTGCACGTGCACGTTTGTGGATGTGTATGAGTGTGTTCATGTGGGTATGGGTGCGTGTGTGTTTTGGATGGTCCTTACCGCCACCATATGGTCAACAGCGCCAGCTGGCAGGGGCCAGGGCACCTACTTCGGCCAGAGCCCTGTGTGCGCTGTGCTAAGGGGGCGGCGTTGGCGGCGGGAGTGGTGTCCCCAAATCCCAGCGCCCCCTGCGGCGCCCCGCCGGGCCGTCGACCTCTGGAGCACTTCGGCTTTGAGCAAGGGCCGTCCAAGGCACGCCCGCGCACCACCCTTCACCATGCCTACTCACGCGGCCCAGGTGATGGACTTCCTTGGCAGCGCGGCGTTCAGCCAGGCGGTGCAGGCGCTGGACGTGGCCACGGGCGGCCTGGTGTGCCTCAAGATCATCAAGAACAACAAGGACTACTTTGACCAGTCCTTGGACGAGATCAAGCTGCTGAGGTGAGGTTGATCTGGCCTCGGGTGGAGTTGGCTTGCGTTCATGGATTGCCTAGGGGGCACTGGACCCAGTCCTGGCGTGGTGCTGTCGGCGCACTTGGTGTGGTGCGAGCTGGGCGCGTGGTGCATTTAGCCAAATCCTGTCTTCCTGCACAGACGCAGACATAACGGCGTCCCCACATGCGCCCGTATGCTTTTTCGTTCCAGCCCCCTCCACTGCCCATGTTTACACCTGCACTCATGCACACATGCTCGCACAAACACGCCCGCGCGCGCGCGCGCGCACACACACACACACACACACACACACACACACACATACACACACACACACACACACTCACCGACGCTCGCACTCAAAACTGCGCCCCCACCCCCAGGTACGTCAACGGCCACGACCCCAACGACGAGCACCACATAGTGCGCCTGTACGACTTCTTCTACTACAAGGTAACGGGGGCTTGAGGACAGAAGGCCGCGCGACTCAGCGCTGACGTTGTTCGCAACGTCTTCCCCTTGGACGCTTAAACGTGAATTTCACTCTGCCCCAAGCTCCCGCCCTGCACGGCTCCTCCCCAGGCACCCCTCCCAGCCAAAGGTGCCGCATGGGGGCGCTGAGAGGGGCGCCACCTCCC